TGGGCAAAACCACTTGAAGGCAAGCCTGAAACCTTTAGCCAGAAAAGCATAACGGCTAATGCTACTGCTTCTGCTTTGGCAGTACGTGGGAAAGAAGACCAGGGGCCTCATTTATAAAATGTGCGTACGCACAGATTTGATCTTAGAGTGTGCATACACTAAAATCTACGGCAACGTTCATATTTATAAAAACGGTCTTTGACGTGGAAAAGTACTTACCGCCACGTCAGAGTCTGAGCAGGCATACGCATTTTCCTTGTGGCAAATCTAAGCTGCAATAATAATAAAAGCGGTGTATGTGCAAGCACAGAATTCATCATAAACAACAAAGATGCAGAGTAAGAGATTAATTGTGCAGTCAGTTTTTTTATTAACGGGAGTTTTTGCGAGATTAAACTGACCTTTTTAGTAGCCTAATGTTGAGAGTTCTTTACTCTTTACTTTTTTATTATTTTATTTTACATGAGAACTTGCGAAGTCTTGATTTACTACTAATGCGTATAATAGAAAAAAAATGCATAAATGCATCTCCGACTGTTTTGTCTGTGTAGCCTATAAGAATAGACCTATGTCAATAGCGGTTTTAATATATTCTATTCAATAACATTGTTAACTGTTTTTATTTATAGCATCTGCTGCTTTGCTTCTGTGACAATGAATAGAGACATCAGCCTTTTTGTCATTTACATCAGTTATATCTGTATATAATACACTATATATTTTTGTGTCAGTACATTAATGGCACATTTGACCAGCATTAGTAAACTGTGTAAATATAAAGAAATGCCAAATCACATGCAGGTTTTTCAGACTGGAGTGTAATAATTTTATTATTATTTTATTATGATATGAAACGTCCATTTTTTTTTCAATAATGTTTTTTAAAGTTTTGCAAGAATTTCATGATACTAAAGTTTTTAGTAGTTGTCATAGCAAGTGATTTTAAAAGTAGGATGGCTCATTTTTTATAAGATGACTGAAAATTTTACTTAAATTTGTTCATCAATCAGTTCACAAATAAAAAACTGAGTGTCTATTTACAAGTGCAAATAGCCCGCCTTGTTGGCAGAGGCTATTTACACTAACTCCGCCCATCAACGTGTGTTTATAAAGCATTATAAAAGACTATCGTCTAGTAACAGCTCCAGTGGCACAGATGGTAAAGTACGTGTTGAAGTCATTTTTGACGCGATCGACCGGGGTTCGCATTTTGCCTAACTTTTTTTTCTACTTTTCAAATCATATATCACGTCGTTGTTATTGTTATTATTGCATACTGTTTTATAATGTGTTACAATACTGAGGTGCAGATAATTGTCACTATCTGCAATAAGTAGTATAATAGCAGGAAATACTGCTAGGTGTAAATAGAATCTATAGCTATTTGCATTGTGTAAACATTAAGTGTAACAAGGACATGAATTATATATATTATTTATAACTGCCTCCACATTTTAAAACACCACCGCACGCCACTGCTCTCGCGGTATTTTGATGTCATAAGCCGATCGGTCTGCGCAGCGCCGATGCATCTCGAACGAGCCTAGTGATGCAAAGTCCGGTTCATTTCCGCGAACCGGTTCTTTTCGGACAGTTCGGCTCATTGAAGAGGTTCAAAAAGCTGATTCATCGGTCCCTGACACAATCAAGTAATGATGTCACTACTTTTCTAACAACCCAGTGCCATGTTGTATCAATGAAACATTCAAATGAAGTCATTTGTGTCAACACATATTATACATTAAAATAAAAAAGTTGTTTGTGTGAATGCATATTGCTGATTATTGCCCTTCATTCACTTAATGGTGTCAGTGGTCAGTTTCATTCACGGATCCGATTATGATTATGTCAGATACGACTGACCAGTATTGACTAGCCTACAACTTGGATAAGATTCCTAAAAGTTTCGCACCTACAGCACACATAACAGACACTGTAATGTGAAAACGCGGTGGTAGCGGTCGGTACACTCTGGTGTAATTTGAACGGGAGCGGGCGGTCTAACAATATCCCGTTCCCGACGTCCATTCAGAACAGCATATCTGCGCTTTATTCTTATTGACCACCGGTACAGCTTGCCTCAGGACTGTTATGCATGCGCTGCACGCATGCTTTCTGCGTCACGCGTTTGTGCGGTCTGTGCGCAGCATGTGCATAACGATGCTCAGAACAGGCTGTACCGGTGGTAAATATACGGCCCTCAGACAGAACAGGCAGGTTGTCGATGAGTGACAGAGCAGAATAAGGATGGAGCAAAGTGTGGATGCACTCTCCATGAAGGAGTTCAACTCGGTTTTGTTTATATTTTGCTTAGCCTATCATTTTAAATGACAGGTGTCGTATTTATTTATTTTCCTCTGCGACACTTTTCCTACTGTGTTAACAGAAAAATGTCAAACGAATTTAGAATTTTGACAAGACGAATAAAAATAGCTAACAGGCAATTTTTGTTCAACCTACATTATTTTTTTTTCTCTCTGCAACACTTTTTTCCTATTGTGTTGTAAATGTTAAACGAATTGTATCTTGACAAGGCGAATAAAAATAAGAAATACATTTTTTGCACATTTTTATTTTCTCTGACACTTTTTTCCTACTGTGTTGCATAAAATATTTAACGAATTTTGTGTCTTAAGATAATTCATATAAATTCAAGTCAAAGTCAATAAATTCAAGACTCTTGACAAGACGAATAAAATAAAATAGGCCTACAATTTTGTGCAGACTACACTTTTATTTGTTAGCCTATCTCTCTTTCAGTAGCAGAAATTTAAATGTGAGATTCTGGAAACGAGATCTAAATTTAGCGGGAACGTTCGGGTCGGAAAGAAAATTATTCTAAGCGGACAGCGGGTGAACAAAGAGTGAATATATAGTGGGAGCGGGTGGGTGCGGAATATAACCTTGCAGGAGTGGGACTAAAGAAATAGTACATTTAAATTTACTAAATAAAATATTAGTAAATTTTATTTATTTACATCTCTCGACAGAAAGGGTTTTGCAGGTTTTAATAAAATGTTATTTTCTAACAGTAGTCATATTTCCAGTGCGTGCCTCAGGCTTGCATAGTATCGTCAGCTCGCTCATCAGAATCCTCAGTAACTCTCGGCAACACTCTGGTTGAACCGGCTCATTTGGTTCTTTTTGAGTCCTTGGTAACTCTCGGCAAACTTCGACAGTTGGTTGAACTGGCTCAATGGGTTCTTTTTGAGTCGGACATGCTACTTCGGCTGTGCGTCTTTCGTCATCAACCTGGATCTAAAGTTCGATTCAGTTCAATTTTGTGAACCGGCTCGACCAGTTACTTCCTGAGAACCGACTCAAAAGAATGATTCGTTCAAGAATCGACCATCACTAATTGGAGCTGAACTCAAGACAGTGGCCCTCCTGGACCGAGTTTGGACTCCCCTGAGCTAGATGTATGCTTGTAAAAAATTTCACTTGCTGTAGTTTTTTTTAAGTAATAAATAGAAAAAAAAGTTATATTTGTATTGCAATATTTTATTTTTTTCCATGGATCTCCGATTTGATTGGTTTTTGACAGTTCTTTAAATATCAACGGCTAAAAAGTAACTAGTACTCTGAGTAGTTTTTGAGAAAAGTACTTTGTACTTTTACTTAATTCCTTTTTTAACACCTGTACTTTTACTTGTAATTGAGTATTATTTCAGCAATGTAAGAGTACTTGAACTTTAGTACAAATTTTCAGTCTTCTTTCTACTACTACTACTATTTATTTTATTTTATTTCAGCTTTATTTCAGTTAACGAAATCGATTTTTTTTTTATAGTTTAGTTAACTATGACAACAGTGCATGTAGATGCAAATTACATGTAGACTTCATGATTTCAAAGAACACATTAATTGTTTTTTGGACTGATACGGAGCGACTAAGTCAGATTCAATGCTGCATTGCTTCTATACAAAAGCATCTCTGTTGACGTTATTTTACCTTGCCTTAAACCCTTCAGAATTCTCTTGAATGGTTTGATGGCATTTCAAGAGAAAGTTTTGTTGCTTCCGTTCTTGTTCTTCATTATGAGGAACAGACCAAACTTTTTCATTAGTGGCTGGTGAAGTAGACTCCGGAGGCTGACAGGAGAGAATTCATAGGGGACAAGCTGTAGTGTGTAATTGGGTCCATCCTGTCCATCTGGTCCTTCAGAGAGGTCACTTGAAGTCAAAGTTCTCTACAGGAATTTACTGTAAAAGTTTTCTTGTTTACTGTTTGCATCTTTTTGGAAGTATTTGCAAGAGTCAGTTATCTTCTTAATTGTATTTAATTTTTTCATTTCATTATTTTATTCTTTCATTCATTTCATTGCCTTAATACCTTATAGTATTATGAAAGAACCTAAGTGTGTTTTGTTTTTCTTTATCCTAAGTCACACAAACCCACATTGTTATATACCCACACAAACCCACAAAAAAACTCAAATAATAATACTTGAATAGGGGCTGTTTAAGAAAACAACAACAAAATCTTGACTTGAGTGACACCATCTCAAGAAAATATGGCAAGGCATTGTGGGTAGTGGTGAGAATTCCTGGCCACCTCTGTCTGATTAAAATGTGATGTGTTGAAAGTTGGCTTTGATCTTAGAAAATGCCTGTGAGGGGAGCAGTTGGAATTTAGCTTGGGCTTTTTCCCTCCCGCTCTCTCTGTGATTTGGCCCTGCAGATGGAGGCCGATAGATAGTGTCACCATTCATTTCCTGCTCAAGCTCCTACACCAATCTGTGCAGACACTAGACCTGGAGCAGGGATCCAAAATGAATAGATCACATGCCGAGCTTTTGTGGCTTGTGCAGAGCTCTGTTTACTTCTATGCTTGTCTCTAAATGTATGCATGTGCTTTGGATACATGCACAGTTAACATGACATTTTGCAAATAACCCCAAAGACTTGGAAAATCCCACCCCACGGAATGAATGGAAGAATACACCATATGAAAAAGACTCCTAATGTGGTTAAATGCTTTTCTTTGTCTCTGATTCCAGTCCTCCTGCATTGGCGGCCAGCCCGGCATTTTCTGATATCTCCCTCATCCGGATCACGCCACACCGGAACCCTTCAGTGGGGGTGGAGTCACCTTTTAACCCCCCACATCCATACATTAACCCCTACATGGACTATATCCGCTCACTGCACAGCAGTCCCTCTCTGTCCATGATCTCTGCGGCCAGGGGCCTCAGTCCCGCAGATGGTGAGTACCTCAGAGACCTGTTCTGCTCCTGCTAAAATTATTTTAAATTCTTCTAAATGTCAACCTATTGTGAGCAGAGCAGACAATTCCAAGCATTAACTTCTAAATTTTACACAACACATGTCTTTCAGAAACTGATAATACCTTAAATTAATCTTAAATTCATTAAATCAATCTATCTATCTATCTTTACAGTTTTATCTAATTATCATTCTGTCAATCTATCTGGTGAGGCCCGGGATATGGCATTCGTATATCCCTCGTCTGTCTGTGATGCTTCTCTCTGGAGGGGGGAGAACATAGTTTGATCGTTTGGCTGGGGTCACTCTCTTTGAACTTTGTCTCATGTCAGCAAACCTTTGGAGGAACATTCAACGTGTCAGGCAGAATCTAATGATCACATCCTAAGTTAAGATGGGGATGAAGTTCAAGGCCATGGTTGAGGGCGGAGGGCACGTTAAAGGAGGGAAGGATGAGTAGTGGGAATGGTTTAGAAGATGGACTCCAGAGGCCTGCCAGGAAGCCATTTTGGTTTTATGTGTGAAGTCAGACTGGGAAATCCATTACAGGGTCAGCAAAGCCTGCTGTTTTTAAAGAGGCTCTGCAGTATGCTGGCCTCTTGGCCTTCTCCTCAGGCATGGAGTTTTGCTTGAAGCCTGAAGCACAAATACCAAAGTGGGGCAATCAGAGGGGCCTCTCACAGGCCACAGATAATCATGACTGTATCGAACTGTGGTGCTATCTAACATCAGCCAGGTTTTACTATCTACCATGTGTCAAAGGAAGACATGAAGCATTACCATATAGTTATTAACTCTTCCCAGATAAGAACCCCTATAAGGGCTAAATTAAACTTGTTGATGCAGTTTGGTTTGATGTGACCTTTTGGTGTTCTTGGTAAAAAGCCATTTGTTGAGTAAAATAAATCAGATTGTACAAATATTTAAATTGCATATAAGTTTTTATGCTAATTCTTTAATAACAGAATTATGTTTCTACTCCAGTTTGTTGTGTTGACAATGACAATGGTGTCTGTAATAACTTGTTTTCATGACAGATTTATTAAAACATACATTAATGGAGAAAACTTTAAGCAAAAAAAAAAAAAAACTAAACAATACAGATTGTGTCAAAGCAACTGAACAGCATTAATTAGGAAAATAGTGTCAATAATGCAAAGTGACAATAGTAAACACTCATTTGATCAAGATGAAGGTTCTCAAGAACTGAAGAACTGCTGTGTGATGTTCTGGTACTGAGTTATTACATCAAAATTATTCATTTGAACACTCACACAAATCAGCTATTAACTGTTTTTTAAGCTTCAATATATTAATTCATAATTAATTCTAAATGTATTTTATAAATATATATATATATATGTGAGCAATATCACACTCGTAGCCATGCGATATGGATGTATATCGGCACAGCTGTGATCCGGCCGTAGGCAAGAGGCCGCAGGTAATCACAGCGGGCCGAAATACAGCCATATCGCACAACTACGAATGTGATATTGTGTTTATACAACAGTTTGACGGCACACGAGTGTGTAAATACATAAGAAACAAAAACGGAGTGTCTTTACAACCCCTTTTTTCTGCAAACTACTTCCTTCCGCCATGGATTCAAATCTCAAATTGACAGTTTAACAGCTAAACCCAAGCCTCCGTTACTAATTCGAAAACATCACTTTAGAACTAGTAACAAAGGAACGTTGAGTTGTTTCATTGAAAGCTTATTGTATTAGAAGCCGATCATACAAAACGTGTATTTTATTTTTGAAAACGCATGGTGCACTGCACTGCCATTTTTTGGTTGTCTTTTTGTAAAAGTGCAGTGCGCTGCGGTTTTTAATGTTGCTAGGCAACCACTGAGTCAGCTGTCCTGTCAGTCTAATCAAGGATTATAGCGTGAACACTCTAAAATCTTTGGTTTGCTGTTAAGTCAACTGTCATACTAGCAGAAACTTAAATTTTTTTTTAAAGACAGCTCCGGGTAACCCTCAACAGCCACCACAAGTTTCTTCTCCATCATTGCAGTCTCTGGACGTTCCCAGCAACTGTAAATTTCCGTCATCACAATGGAATGCCCGCCTCTCCATTAATTTGATTGGACAATGGAAAAAAAAATGCAAATGACATTGGGTGCTTTTCTGCTCAGAGTTGATTAGGGATGGGCGATACCACTTATTTTGTTTTCGATATGATACCGATACTTTTTAAAGGTCAGTATCGTCAATATCTATACCAATACAATACTTCTAAACTGAACTTTTAAATTATGAAATGTATTAAATTATTAAATTACTGTGAGTAAAATGGGTAATTATATCCACTTAACTTTATATTTGGAACACATTTTATCATTCGCATTCATTCATTTCACGCCTTAATTGCAACTTATTAGGTTATATTTTTGTTTACACATGGTTAAAATATGTTTACTGTAGTGGTAACCATGGAAATCTACAAATACTATATAGTTGAACTACGGTCACTTTAGTAAAACCATGGTTCATTTTCATAAGAGACTGCCAGTGAAAGGCTGTTGCACACATAAAATGCAACCTTTTTATTCTGACAGTGTATGATTTATATTAACATTACATAATAGAACATGATTAATATGAACTTTTGTTTAATTTAAATAAATGTAATTGCACAAACTATGTAGGCTACAATTTCAGTTTATTTATTGTGAAATAACTCAAACATATATGTTTTTTTTTTCTTCTGTCCTCTGATAAGCATTGTTCTGGGGTGCCGTTCCCAAATGCGTCAATGGTTTCTTATGATACTTTTGGGAAAAGCAGCCCTGTTTGAATGCATTGTCAGAAGTGAGTGAATGCTCTCTGTAATTGATTGGTTCTGTCTTGCAGGGCCGTGCAGAAACCTTTGGAGGGGCAGGTGCTCAAAGTATAAAAGGGGCATATGGAACACGACTTTTAATAGGACTGTGCTCCTTGCTGATACGTGTATCGAAATGGATGCTTCTGTAGTGATACAGAAACACAGAACAGAAAAGACCAATTTAAGTTTAAAAGTTAAATAATTTTTTCTTTGCACCTCTTAATTACTCTGGAATTAGAAACTGAATTATATTATTATTATTATTATTGAGTTTACAGGGTATAGTGGTTTTGCTGTTGTAAACACTACTGTTGCTGTTATTTAAAATAGAATTATATTCTAATCATGTTCTAAATTTATTCATTATTTGAATGATAATGAAAATAAAAACAGGACTAAAAATCATAATTCGGAGGATGAGAAAATGAGTATAAGCCTGTTTTACCAGTGTTGTGATAATTATTTTTAAGGCACTCTATGTTTTTTAAATAGATACTGTAATAATAATAGTATGAATAGTCAGATAACATCAGGGGCAAATTCTGGCAAATGCCAGAGGGGCTGGACCATTTTGTTTAATGTGGGCCGGTCAGATTTTTTCTAAATATATATAAATAAAATTGTTTTTACGGGCCAACAGCGCATAGGAGGGGTTTTTAATCGCTTGCACGATTTCTCTATGGTTATAATAATAATAATGTTAATAATAAATAAATGTTAAGCATTTTGCCCAGTCGGCCACGGCCGCCTGGTCCCAAGATGGGCCGACCGAACCATTCAGTCAAAATCAAGCACGTCATCAGAGAGATTGCAACACAAGCTAATTTTCAGTAAAAGCTAGATAATGGACCGTAAAAAAGCAAAGGTGGTGAAGAAAAACTTTGAGAAAGGAAAAAAAGGACTTAAGTCTGACGCTGCTAAATGCGTAAAGTTTAAATTTGGTTTAAATTAAGGTTTAAATTTAAGGTTTAAATTCGGCTGCTGCAGTGGAGGACAGTTAGTGCCGCAGAGGTAAGAAGAAAACAGAAAATACAGTTAGCACAAGTCATTTTCACACTACTTCTGCCAGTTAGCTCCTGTTTTTTTTTTTTTTTGACAGTAGTCTACATTGTATTAAACAGTTGTAAGCTTAGAATAGAACCCTAGTATATTTTAAAATGTCATTGCTTCGTGATAATTGGTTAATTTAAGTGTTAACGAGCCTGTTACTGAATTGCATCAGCAGATAAAGTGGGATTTAGGGTAAAAACTGATGTAGGCTACTTGCAATATAGTCTAACACATCAAAAACCTATAGCAATAGCCATAGTACTGTAGACATTTGTAGTGAACTTTACTTTGAATATGTAGATAGTCATATATTAAAATAAAACATTGAGCACGCATACTGTACATACGTTTACAGTATGCAATTAATCCTTAGGTAGGGTGGACTGCAGAGTCAAGTGTCATGGAATGCACATGCAGCACATACTAGCAACACTTCAGCATACTTTAATTCACAAATAATTGTATATCAAAAAGGATTTACTGCTGCTACTATTTATAGTTTTTGCTATATATTCTATTCCCTTTTTTGCTATTATTACTTGTTTGTATTCATGTGTATTCCAATGTTGAGAGCAGTCAGTGAGAAAATATTTAGCTGTAATGTTTACATCCTATACTGTGTACATTAACTAGGATGTTGCTGGAATCAGTACAGCTAGAGACCCCTGGTTTTCCAATACCAGTGCTGTGAGGAAGGATGCTACGGTAGGCCAAGCAGAGACATGGAGGAGTATGGTAGAGGTAGGAAAAACCCAACAGACAGACAGTAACAAAGAACAAAATGCTGTAAAG